AGCGGGCTTAAGAAAACTGTCCCGCTCAGGGCTCTAGGCTGCGCGTCAACACACGTTTTTTTCCCTGGCTCCCCTCATCTCCATCCCCAGTCATTAGTGCTGCTTGTTCGGTCTTTGACAGAACATATAGGACAATTTTTAAATAGCGCCATAAAATTTATTTCAAATTTAATTCAAGCACTTTCAAGGACCTATGTTTGTTTTCAAGTATTTTCCAGGCCTTGAATCCATGTCTGAAATTCAAGTATTTTCAAGAAGCGTGGGAACCCTGAAACACATGCAGGTGAGTTAATGACAGCATTTCCATTTTTAGATGAACTATCCTTTTAATGCAGTGATGAGCAAACTTGGCCACTTTCCTGCAGAGATTTGCTCTAACCCTTATAAAACTCACCTGCCTGTAGCCTTCTAGTAGTCTTGAAGACAATGATTAGCTGGTTCAGGTGTGTTTGATTAGGGTTGGAGCTAAACTCTGAAGGAAAGTGGCCTGGAAGGGCCAAGTTTGCCCACCCCTGCTTTAATGTGTTTACTAGGGGAGGGTGGGAGGGATTTGCATTAGTTAAACCAAACATATCCATTTTAGTATTTCTACAGTGATGGAACCAACATGTAAAAAGACGAGCAGTAACCAAACAGGCCACTTTATTTCTCAAACCCAGTTTATTCAGAATGTTCAATGTATTAAATACACATCGCATGAAATGCTTTAAATGAAATATTTGTATGCGGGTGACAGTCTAAAACACAATCTCCATGTTCAGCCTTGTGCAGTCAATCAGGTGTTACTGCTGTGATCAACTGGTGATCTGTCCTGGATGTTGGGAACGCTGATGGTCACTGGTTATTACGCCTCAAGCTCAAAATCAAAATACTGGGGATCGAAGTAATGAATTCTTACATAACCATCCTCTCCTCCACTGCTGTAACTGTGGGTGCAAGAATGAATGAATGGTTAATAAAATCATTGAAACTAATGACTGATAAATCAAAGTAAACGTTATAAGAATACAAATGCAGGAACTAACCTTTTCCCATCCGGGTGGAAGGCCACACAGTTAATGGGGCCGAAGTGTCCCTTCACACGACCGAACTCCTCTTCATAAGCCGCATGGAAAAACCTAGAAGAGATTTTATTTATTTTTTTAATCAATGCATTTTAATGATTTTAAGATCACATTTAAAAATCCCTAATTGTTTTCCACGCGGAATCACAGCCGTAACGGCACTAACCTGGCCTCGAATTTGCCGATCCTAGTAGAAGTGGTTGTGACTTCCATGGCCTCCTGACCACCTCCCATCACCACC